GTTCCATGGTGGCAGTTGGGGGTGGAGGGGGAGGGGAATTACCATACATTTACATAAAACTAGCAGTGAGGCAGTGAGTAAAGAAATCCATGTGCCAAGGGCACCTCACAACCCTAGACTGTAGATATTTATATCCTTGATCTCTTTAAGGAACAGTCTCTAACACATATTACCTGCTGGGAAAACCAGTTCTCTGTTAGCTGTTTCCCTTCCAGGCCCCTCATCTGTCCTACTGGTATTTTGGGAGAGATCAGGAAAGACTTAATGTAGAAGGTGGTGCTTGAACTGCCTCTTGAAGGAAGAGGAGATTTGATAAGATGGAGCCTGCTAAGCAAGGCTGTTTCCCTGATACTCTTGGAGTACTGAAGCAATGTCAAACTTTTTTTAAATATATTATTGGCAAGGCACAGAGAAAATATTAGGTTCTTTTAGCAAAAATCGACTGGCAGAGATAGCAAAGCCTGTCTTTCCCCCTCTACTTCTTCCTCTCAAACCACAGAAAGCAGTAAAAGGCAATACAGGTAAACAACTGCTGAGTTTCCCCTCTCAAGTGTAGATGGTACTAAAGGGTGACAAACCTAATCAGCTCTTCACACCAAGAATTAATCTTCTTTCCTCCCAATAGCTTCCAGAAACAATAGCCCTCTCGTCCAACCCAATAATCCCTTACAACATCTGCAAAGCTTGCCTGTTGATCGTATACAATTCCTGGCAGCTCCTGAATTCTGTCTTCTGTAAGCAGCCTTCTGTGTCTGCTGTCCTTATTTTCCTGATACCTTCTGGTTCTCATCTTCATCTACCTTCTATCTCCAGCTGGTCTTAATTGTGGGTATCCCTCAGGCTCTATCACAGGCCCTCTGCTCTCTCTACATTCTCTTACCAGGTGATATCAGCAACTCCTACGGGTTCAACTTGACTCACATGGAGATGATTCCCAAATCCCTTTATCCAGTCCTACTTTTGAAGTAGATGTCATGTAGGCATCTCAAACTCAACATGTCAGAAACAGAACTCCCCCCAAGTCCTCCCCTCTGTTACTCTCCAGGGCACCACCATCCTTTTAGTCAATCAGGTTCAAAGTCCCAGGTTCATCCTAGATTCCTCACTTACCACCCACATACAATTAGTTGCCAAGTCTTGTAAATTCTTTCTCCATATCTCTCCCAAGCTGACCCCTTCTCACCACTGATACAGCTACCACATTAGTTCAAGTTCTCCTTACCTCTCAGCTAGATTGTTGCTTCCTAATTATCTCCCTGCCTCAAGTCTCTCCTCACTCCAGTCCATCCTCCACACTGCTGACAACATGATCTTTCTTCACTGTAGATGCGACTATATCCCTCTTCTACTCAATACCCACCAGTGTCTCCTTATTGCTTCCAGGATAAAATGTGAAGTGCTCCATTTAGCCTTCAAAGTCTCCTACAATTGGGCTCAAAACTCTTTCCAGCCTCATAATAATCTATGTATATACTATGTATGTATATATGTATATGCTATGTATAATCATAGTAAACTAATTCCCCCTCCATACATTCCTCAATCTAGCCAAACTGGCTTTCTCTCTGTGCCCCTGCGCTGGCCATTCCTCATACCTAGAATGTACTTGTTGCTCAGTTCCACCTTACAGATTCCCTCTCTTCCTTTACAATGAAATTCAAGCACTACCTTCTACATAAAGCCCTTCCTGATCTCTTCCAAAACATTGTCCTCACTCTCAAAACACCTCGTAGTTAACATTTTGTGTTTATTTGTATTTATTCGTCCATGCTTCTATTTGTTGTCTCCCCCATTAAGATGTTAGCTCCTTGCAAGACTGAACTGCTCTATTCATTGTATTTAAATCTTTAGTGCCTAACAAAGAGCCTGGAATATAGCAGGTGGTTAATACATACTTGTTGACTGATCAACATCTATACATAAATGTATAGAGTATCACTCAATCAACCAACTATTTAGCACTTCCCATCTGTCAGACATTATGCTAAGTGCTTGGAATACAAAGAACAATAAAAAACAGTCCTGCCCTCTAAAGGAGAAGACAACACATATAAATCCGAATGTGCAAAATAAATACAATGTAGGTGGAAGGTAGTCTTGGAGGAGCTGGTACGAGCAGTCAGGAAGACCAGAAAGGCCTCCTGGAGGAAATGGTGCTTGCACTGAGTCTTAAAGAAAGCCAGAGAGATTAACAGTCAGAGGTTGGGAGGGAGAGCATTCCAGGCATGGGGAATATCCAGTGCAAAGGCATATATAGGCAAAGGTGGAGCATTGTGTGGGGTTGAATCACAGAATGTTCAGAGGAGATTAGAATCTAAGAATCTTGGAAAGGTAGGAAGAGGCCAGGTTGGGAAGAGCTTTAAATGACAACCTCCTCCTGACTGCCTTTATATTGGATCCTGGAGGTAAAAGGGATGCAGTGAAATTAACTGAGCAGAGGGCTGACATCAGATCTACCCTTTAGGAACAAGAAAAGTTAACTAGAGATCCTAACACAAGGATGCAATTTTCACTTTGTATGTATCAACGTGATTTAGTGGGATGAGACCCTAGACAGACTAGACAGAAAGATGATGAACTTGGAAAATACATCATAAACTTAGAGTGGAAGCAAAATAAATAGACAGAAAGATAAATGGATAGAGAGATACAGACACACAGAGAGAATTTATTAAGCGCCTACTATGAGTCAGGCACTGGACTAAGCTCTGAGGATACAAATACAAGGAAACAAGTTAAGCGCTGCTTTCAAAGAGTTGACATTCTAATGGGAGACGACAACACATAAAGGGGTGCTTCCCAGAGTGGAGTCAGTACACAGTGCCACAGTGAGCAGGATGGTGTGGAGGTGCTAGGAGGTCTTGTTCTAAGGATGTGAAAGCAAAAGTTCATCTATCACAGCTGGGAAACCAAGGATTGGCATCCCAGGAAGGGAGGCAGTCAGGAAGAGGGCAAGAGGAGGAAGTTAGAGAAATAAAGTTCAAGGCCAGGGTGCAGAAGTACAGTAAGGAGATGGCAGGTGATATAGTAGAGATGAAGGACTTCACTTTTCCGAACATCTGGGACTTTTTCACCTTGCCTTTTCCAATCAGGCTTTCTCCTAAAAGAAGCTGAGAGAAAAAACACTGTAGGGTTTTCTTCCCTTTCCCTGCTAATTTGCTCTTTATCATGACTAAAGCAGAATAACATGTACTCACTGACCAACGTGGCCTGAACAAGAATCTCCTAACCCACCAGCATTTATTAAGCACTTACCACGTGTCAGGAACCTTGCTCAGCAAAAAACTGTCTCTGCCCTCAAAGAGCTTACTTGATGAGAAAGACAAAATGTAAATAAATAGGTACCTTCAAGATATACACAGAGAAAGAAGAAAGTAGCCTTAAAGAGTTATTACTAGAAGCTCAGGGAACCAAGAAATGCCTCCTGCAGAAAGTGGTGTCTGAGCTGAGTCTTGAGAATAAGATAAAGAAATGTAAGTTGGTTAATACTCCATAAGTGGTATTTAGAATTTTTAAGTGTTCTAATCCAAAGAGTAGTTATTCAAAGGTTCCATGTCAACTTGGATAAAGGTCTCCAGTAGAGTTCCCCAGGTACCTGTGCTTGACTTTATATCATTATCATTTTTTATCAGTGACTCAGATTAAGGCATAAGAGTCATGCCTGTCAAATTTGCAGATGACACACATTCTTTGGATGATAGTAAGAATTCAAAAAGGTCCTGGCAGAGTAGAACCTCAGGTCAAACGTAATAAGATAAAATTTTACAGAGATTAATGTCAAGTCTTACACTTGGGTTCAAAAAAGTCAATTTCACAAACACAAAATGAGAGGGAGAGGGTCATCGGCTAGACATCAATTCCTCTGAAAAGGATCTTGGGACTTTAGCAGATAAAAGCTTAATATGAGTTCGAAGCGATATCATGGGCAAAAAAGTTAAGGTGATTTTATGTAGCATTAAGAGAATCACAGAACTTTATCTAAGAGATTGGTATCAATGTAAAATAGCACAAACCCACACACAGACCCCTGATGCACTGCACTGTAGACCTCCTTTGAAGTTGACATTAAACCATTTGGGTCTAGCCATTATGGCAATTCCAAATCCATCTTATTGTACTTTTATCTATTGTACTTTTATCAACTGATTTGCTAAAATTTTGGTAAACGTCTGCAGAATTCCTCTAATCTATCAATTAATTAACATGATCAACAATCAGTGAAGAAAAGAAAACAGACTATTCCAAGACACCAGGCACAGAATGACAGGGGAGGGGGTACACTCACATCTATAAAACTACAGCCAGATCCATATATAAGCATTTATATACTTATATACTAAAGGACTACATGACCCAGCATACACAGTACAAATGAACTAAGACAAAAATCTCTGCATTAGAGTAAGAGGCTCACTATGGTATAATGTCCAAAGTATTGGGTAAGGAATTGAGAGTTCTGTGGTTCTCATTTACTAGATCCATAACCTTGGGCTTCAAATCTCTGAGCCTCAATCTCTATAAAATGGGGATACCTATCCTGGCTAACATTTGTCTTGAGAATCAGGTGATTTGAAAACTATAACATGTCAAAGAAATAGAAGATATTGTTGTTATCTCCCTCCTCAAGTTTCTTACAGCAAGGTACCTGATTCTCCTTAGCCTCTAACATACATGCTTCCTTGTATCATCTAGTACACCATACAATAGGTACTTCATAAAACACATTAAAACACCTCTCCAGTCCCTAGGCCTCCAAGTCTGCCCCCTTATCCCAGCCTTCTAGGATTCCCAGGGGTTGTGGATCCCTCCACTTACAAGCCCGGAAAGAAACCCTTTTCTTCGAGAAGAGGAGGGGGAAGGGAAGAGCAGTTACATTCCAAGTAAGTGAGGGTGCTATCTTTCAGTCACTGGGAGATCTAGTTCCAGTTCAAGGCCTCAGATGCATTTTTAAAGTGCTTTCAAATTCATGACCTCTTTAATCTTTGCAATAATCCTCAGAGTTGGAGGTGTTCCTATCCCTAGTCCACGGATGAGGAAACTGAGGTTCAGAGGAGGGTAGCAGAACTTTGTACTATTTCTCAAAAACAGAAAACTAGCCAGTGTCAAGGCAGGAAGAAGAAACCAGGTCTCCAGACGTCTTCCAGTTCTCATCCCATAACCCTGGGCTGCTTCCCATAACTGGGACCACTCTGGGCTACCCAGGAATCTGCTCCGAGGAGAGGTGGAGCAAAGTGGGGCGGTGCTGAGAGGGATGAAGCTGGCAAGGTCCCAGTCCCAAGCAGAAACTAGTGATCCCTCGGATTGGATGGTGGAGGGAGGCCCGATTGAGAACAGACACCCCGGGACAAGAGAAACCCGGAGCATAGGCAAGAGAGGAGTCGCTTCCCCTCCCTGACACAAGGAAAGGAGTGGAGGAGGATCCCAGACTGGAGGCGCTGTTCACGCAGCCCAGACCATGGGTGTAAGGCTCTGAGCCAGACAATGGGGCTGCTGCCCATGCTGCTGTTACTGCTGTGGCCTCCCCCTACGAGAACGCGCTGCCCCGACTTCTGCAGCTGCAAACCCGACGGCGCCCTGAGCTGCCCCGACGCAGGCCCCGGCTTCACCAGGCTGTGAGTAACCTCAGCCGGCAGCCCTAGGGTGGGGAGGGAAAGGAAAGGAAAGGAAAGCGGAGAGGAGGGATGAGGACGTGCCTCTCGGTGGAGCTGCCTTGGTCCTCCTGCCCCCATTAGCTTCCCAGAAGCAAAGAACGAGCAGATTTGACTTCAAAGGACCTGGCTCTGCCACTTACTTCGTGGGTGACCTAACCTCCTTGGACCTCAGTTTCCTCCTGGGTAAAATGACAGCTAGATTAAGACCAGATGACCTTCTAGCTCTAATCCCTGCTTTACTCTGTACCACAACATTCTCCTCTTTGGGGAAGACTAAGACCATGGTAGGTCCCTTCCCAATCTAAGCAATGTGAAACCCTCCCAATTCATTCCACCTCCTTTGCTTGCTCAGCCTTCACCTTTTGAGGAGAGAATCTAGCTTTACCACCACCTCCTCCAACTTTGTGTGCCAGCAAATCAGTTAGTTTGGTGGTCTTTGTAAGCACCAACTCAGCTGCACGGGGCACTAGGTTCAAACCCTCCACCTAGTAACTGGGTCCACCTAGGACCTAGCTGGAAAGGAAATGGGAGGGGGGAACAATAGATAGACTGAGGAGGATATTATTGATCGAAGAAAGTGGAGAAGGTTGGCCACATTTACCATCCACTTTCTCCAAGGGCAGATGTTGGCATAATCTGTTTGTCCTCAACTCCCTCCTGCTTCAATTCAAGCTCACCTTAATGCACCCTTTCCCCATGGGACCCCTTTCCTCAATGTCTTTGTGATTTCTTTTCCATCTCCCTATTCAAGCCTATTCTCTGAAAATTATTTTTATACCATTCATTCACCCTTTTAGAGTGGATTTAGGTCACTAGAAGATAACTTTCCTAAGAGATATTTTATAGCTTAGTCTAACTATGAGCACAAAAAGAAAGGCTTTGTCTCTATTGAGGGAATTTTGGCATATGTGGAGAGATATTTTAGAGGAGTGGGGGTACAATTGTATTAAATGCAACCCCAGATCTCTGCTCCATTCCCCCCCCAAAAAAAAGTGGAGGAAGGTATGTATGTTTTAAGTTTAATTTTTAAATAAATTTCATCCTCCTCAGATAGGAGAAATACACTACCCAGTGAATATCCTTTGGAAGACCTCCTCTTATCTCCTCCAGTTTATATATCATAGATATAATCTAAAGCTTGAAAGGGCCTCAGAAGTTACCTTGGTCAACACAAATGTGAAAAAAGAAATGCCTTCTTCAACATAGCTAATAAATGGTCATCCACCTTTGCTTAAAGAACTCATCCCCTCCAGACAGCCCATCCCACTCTGAGTTAACTCTAATTGTCTCAAAGACTTCCACTCCCCCCACCCCCTACCCCCACCCAATCTCAACCCTTTATCTGCCTGTTTACAATTTTCAACCTTGGTGAGTAATTGTGCCCTCTAGGGCCAAACAGAACAAGTCTGATCCTTTTTCCAGGTGACAGCCCTTCAAATCCTTGAGGACTGCTAACATTTCTTCCCCCTGAGATTTCTCCAGGCTAAAACATCTCTTGTTATTTCAACTGATTCTCACATGGCATTAACTCAAGGCCCTTGAACCTCCTATTTATCCCCACTCTGGACAATTTCCCACTTATCAATCAATTTGATTGATACAAGCATTTATAAAGTGTCTACTGTGTGTAGCAGGAACTGTGTCAGGAACTGACAACATAAAGACAAAAAATAAAATTAGTCTCTAGTCTAGAGGAATTTACATTCATTTGGGGGGGGTAGAAAGGAGAAAGAAAGAGAGGAAGGGAGTGAGAGAGAGAGAGACAGAAAGAGACAGAGAGAGAGAGAGAGAGAGAGAGAGAGAGAGAGAGAGAGAGAGAGAGAGAGAGAGAGAGAGAATGCACATATCTAGGGATAGGGCCTAGACCTCTGATTTCATCAGTATAGGAAACTCTGGAACTGAAAAACCTTCCTTGACCAGTGTACCTTCTCTGATGGGTCTTCTTAGAGAGCATTGCCTAGAGCACTAAGAGGTTAAGTGACATCCAGGGTCACACAGCCACTCTGTTTCAGAGGTGAGACTTGGAACAAGGTCCTTCTAGCTGTCAGACCAGTTTTCTGTCCTCTATACTACATTGACATTTATACACTTCTACATAACATTCAAGTTAATTGGTGGGAGGGAGACAGAGGGTGGCAAGGAAATACTTCATGTAGGAGGTAGTATTTGAGCTGAGTTTTATCAATTTCCTTTAAAATCCTGCTTACTAGCTATAGGAGTGAGCAGCTCCCTCAAATCCTTTAAAATTAAGCTAATAATACTTGGCCTTCTTGTGAATAAATCCCTTTATAAAGTTTAAAGTGATGTAGGAATAGATAACTAGATAAATCTATCAATATAGATAGGCATCTATATAGATTGATTGATCTATTTACAGGCACAGTTCATCTGTATGGGAATTGGAGAGACCCCAGGGCTGCCACTAGGGAAGCTAAATCCAGTGGGCATCAGAAGCAGGAATGCCAAATTCTGGAAAGGGATGGAAGTGCACACAAAGTCTACAGAAGATTTGTGGGTAGGGATGGGGGTGGAGTGAAACCAGCCAGCCCTTTCTCCTTTCAGCCGGTGCCTGGCTTTGCCCTTGGGAAGGACTCCTGGATGGTGATTGTTCCCATTCAGACTGTACATGCTCTGTTCCAGTCCACTCCTTCCATGCTTCCACGGGGTCATTCCTTCCCATTCTGTTACTAGTTCAAGAGTTCTACTGTTGACTCAATTTTCTCTATGGCATCACTGGGGCTGCTGAATTTCCCACAGTGACAAAATGTACTGCAGCATCTACAACATAAATAAATGAACCACTTTTATTGTTATCCAAGTTCACAAAACAAGCAGTATGGCCCAGGCCTCCTGATTCCCAAACCAGGGTCTTTGCATTATACCTATTGCTTATTTGGGTAGAACAATTACTGGGGTGAAGGATATTGGGAGCGAAGAGGAAGTTCCCTGAGAAGGTATACGTTATAGAGAAAATACAGTCAAATAACAATGTCTCAATAAATTTTTAAGTGTCTTCATCACTTCAGGTATGAGTAGAATCAAAGGACCCCAAAAGTTAACAACAACGGGGTGCTAAAAATGTGTTCAGAGCAGAATTGCCTATCATCACTGAGATAAGATTACTGATAACAAATATTTTAAATAGTAGCTTTCAAGTCTTTGCTTCCCTTTTCATATTTAATTTAAATTCTAGATATTTGAAATACAAAAACAGAGTTTAGAGATTCCTCCAGTGTGATACCAAGAAATGGATTCCCACATTCTAGTTCATTTTAATTAGGGGGGAAAAGATGAACTTGTAGCTCATAAGAGGCTTGATTTTAAATTTTTCTTTCTTTTCTCATTAGTTCCAGGCAACTAGAGGGAAAGAAAAAACTCTCACCTTGCCCGTAGTTATATAAAGATCTTTGTCTCTATGACAACAGAAAGGTTGATCTACTTGATATGGAAACAGCTTCTAAAATCTGTTAGTGGGAAAATGCTAATAATAATTATGGCACTTTATTCTTTGTGTGTTGTGCCTATTGAAAGATTAAACTCCTGACTTTATTGGAAGACAATATGATGAATTTTTAGATGGGTACAAGGTTCCCTGTATGCATTGCTCCATAGTAATGGAATGATGTCAGCCTCCTGACATCATTACTGAATTCTTTTCTCTTCTTTTACCTTCAATTCATTTCATTAACTGAGCACCTTCTCTGTACCTAGTCCTGTGCTGGATACTATGGATAAAACCAAATGGGGCTTATTTTGGACGCTATGAAAAAAAAAAAAGGAAACTTACATTTTGGTTTGGGAGACTCATAGAACAACACAGAAAATGTGGTGGATTAGGGCCAGTCAATCAGGAAGACCTTGCTACCATTTTGGCCTCTGATATATATCGGCTGTGTGACAATGAGCAAATTACTTAAACTTCAGTGCCCCCAGGAAACCTGCTAGGACTATAATTTGCATAACAGTTGCTAAGCTGGCAGCTAGTTGGCACAGCTCACTGAGCTTGGAAGCAGGAAGTTCTGAGTTCAAGTTTAGCCCGAGACACTAGACCTTGGGCTAGTCACTTAACCTCTGTTTAACTTAGTTTCCTCTGCTACAAAATAGGGATATTAGCATCTACCTCCCAAAGCTGTTGTGAGGATCAAATGAGATATTTGTAAAGCGCTTAGCACAGTGCCTGGCACATAGTAGAAGCTGTATTAGTGCTAGCTATTGTTATCCATCTGAACCAATGCAGGCAGTACCCTCTCCAGGAGTCTCCCGCATCAATGAAAGCACAAGTCTGAACCAAAAAAAAAAAAATAGCACAGAACCAAGATTGATGGGCCTAATACTAAGTAACAAATGAATTTGGAGAAAGGAAAGGTCAGATTGGGCTAGAGGAATCAGGGAAGGCTTCAAGGTAGGACGTTTACCTGAAAAGGTGGGCAGGCTCCTGATAGGCTGAGAGGATGTGGAACAGTAGGAATTGTGGAGATGGGAATAAGAATGTCACCTTCAGAGAGACCATCACAGCTGTTGCAGAGGGTGTCTATCACACAAACACCTTGCATACACATAGTAGGTGCTCAATAGTTATTGGGAGTAAGGAGAGGGAAGGGAGGCAAGTAGATTATATATAGGTTATTCTAGCACCCAAAAGCTGTTCCTGCAAGCTCACGGTCAAAAAGCCTTAAGTACTTAATAACCCAGAGGAATATACTAAAGAATTCCATAGCTGTAGTCTCCCCCTATCAGAGGTTTTTGATAAAAGACAGAAATACAAGTACCAGAGAATTGTGGGAAGATGGCAGCATGTTAAGACCTAGAAAAGCACAGACCCTACCCCACCCCCCAAAAAAACACTCTAGTAAATCTCTAAAAGTGGGCAGCTGTGTGGTACAGTGGATAGAGCACCAGATCTGGAGTCAGGAAGACTCATCTTCCTGACTTCACATTTGGCCTTAGATACTTACTAGCTG